TCGATAAAGCTTCTTCAAACACAAAATTCATCAGAACCCCGTGGAAGTTGGGAAATAGTTGACCTCGATAAATTTCAGGGCATTGATTGGAGCCCCAGTAGAGTCGACCTTACTGTAATGGAAACTTCCGAGAAAATCGATAATATTGGTTGAAATTCTTGTCGAGAAACTGAATACGTGAAAATGGATGTTGAGAAAACACGGTGAATCATAGCAGTAACATCACAATCACGATGCATTCATGTGGTGTGTCCTTTCTATCGTGTGACAAGACATTCTAACGCTTTTGTAACCCATTGAAAACAAATCTCAATAGTTCTACGTGCCATCCATTCCGCAAAAGTAGCTGAGGGTGTCTGAATGAATCGAAGCGACTTTTCAAATCGTTAGAGAGTTAAATGTGTATTAAACAATGTGAGACTTCAAAATTTATTGCAAAAGACTCAATTTTTTTGAAATTTTGAATTTTTTAAAATTAAAAAATTTTGAAGTCTCACATTGTTTAATACACATTTAGATCAACATGAGACTTCGGGACAGAACAATTCTAACGTTAGAGAGTTATTCAAGTGGGAGCGGTGGTAGTTTAGGTGCCAACAATATCGGTAATGTTTTTTGAAGAGAATAAGGGCTCCCGAAGTGACCGTCGAGAGCACTGCTAGCTAGTCCAGACCACTGGCAATAACCCGAAACATTTGAGCTCTTCTATTCGCTTAACAAGACACGGGTTCACGAATTTTCATGAAGAGGCTCTTCAGAACGTTTCGATAGCGGGGCTGTGGTGAACCGTTTTTCCGCAGTAAACTTGCGACCTTCCATAAATCAGTCGTAGACTTGATGGGTTATTTGATTGTGAGGTTTTCACTACTTAGACTTGAAATTTTTTCTAGAAGGGGAGGGTTTAACGGTGATCGAAAAGAACCATTTCATCCATCTTCCTCACACCACCTTTTCTCATCATCCTCTGAGAAAACAAGGAAAAATTCTCTGGATACCAAGAGTGCCGTGGCATTTGCGGTCTGCTGACAAGAGTGCCGTGGCATTTGCGGTCCCGCTATCACAAGGTACTTCTCAGTTCTGGTCCCGTTAACAAGCCGTGATACCGCTAGATGCTTCGTCTGTTAAGCATTAGTGCACTTCAGTCGACCTTCGCCCAGACCGGTCTTGTCGTCGCCAGCGACGTCGCGAAGCCGTGCGGGCGATGTGATTAGTAGCACGCATGTCACACACTGATCTGTGCGTTATCACGTACATATTTCAACGAACGCGCGCACGCGCGCATCGTCTCATGCCAAATGTTTTGTGGCTATTCATCTGATCAAGAACATAACCGGTATTGGGTACCGATTGACTGGTATCTCAGTACACCAGGTAATTTGTATATTGTTCATGTCGTTTCGATAGCATTTAGCCTGTTCACGTTCTGCTCTCATGCTAAGGTTTCCACAATCAGGTTATCGTTAGGTTCCTCCTCAGGTTATCAAACTATAGCCTCTCTTTCCCGTTTTTATGTGACAGATGATGAAGTGTTTTGATTCTCGGTAACCGCTGTCATTTGTTACACCGAAAAAGCGTCTTAGGCGGGTTGAGCTCTTGACACAAAAATCCGAAGAAACTTACGTTTTCTTAAACCTCCCTGTCCTTTTAAATGCTCTGTTCCGTACAAAAGATGCTTTAGGAACCTCCAGAGTAACCCCCGATTTCACCAATTTCGCGGAGTTACTGCAAGATGCCGAATATGGACCGTTTATGCTCCCATCGAAATGGGCAGAAGACGAAAAAGAAGAGGTACTGATTTCCTTTTATCCTTTTACATCTTCGATTTCCAAAGCTAAACATAATTGTTAAGGATGAGCACGTTCCTCAACGAGCTATTGATTGGTTAGAACGGCGAGCAATCGCGCACGTTCCCGAGACAATATGCACATTAGATGCGTCCGCGTATCTCGTAATGCGAAATCGAGAGGATCAGTCGAAACCTCCGGAAGTGAGGGGATAAAGCAATAATTTCTGAAGTGCTTTCGAAATCATGCCTGATTTCAGGTCAGAGGTGGCCCTCGAGACGCCCTAATTGTGCACGCCACTGAACACACGGCTTCAGTTCTTTATCAAGAGGCATTCCTTGTTACTTATCGAACGTTCATTTCATCTCATGATCTCATTAACAAACTTATCACAAGGTTGGTAGCGGCAATTCGTACATAGGGGCCCTCGGACACTGAATAATGCTCAATTTTTCCAGATACGTGTATATGTCCATGTCGTCGGATCGAGCATCTCAGTCAGCTGCTCGATTGACATTTTCCATACTGGTACGAGTAGTGGACGAGTTGACAGGGTATGAGCTGAGCGAAGCCCTTGTGCATACCGTCACCTCATTCGTCTATCGCCTTATTCATGAAGGAAATCTAATCTTTGCTCGACTTTTAAGGTAATTGTTACCAGTTAGACTACTGCCAATACTGCAAATGCCAATAGTGTAATCATTACTTACAGTACATAACTCCTTAGGCCAATGTATGGCTACCCAGTAGATGGACCCAATACCGTCCCTGTTCTAATGATTTGGAGTTTCCTCTTGGATTCACACCAAGGGAGGTGGGAGGTCATTTGGGTGCAATAGTCGAGAATTGAGAGACTCCAATTTTGGAATAGGGTGGGGGAGCCTTCCCTTCAAAATTGGGGTCACTCAATTCTGAACTGAGAAGGTGGGTGGACTACTTACTTGTACAAGCGAAATGTGTGCAACGAAACTAGGTAAGAATTACTTGGTGTTTGTAACAAGGAAGAATATTGCTATGGTTTTGAAAGCCTTTGGTGCTGAACACGGGCGGAAGTGGTCAAGAGGCACTGCTTTCCACGGGAATCAAATCCTCGGTCCTTCAATCAACTTCAACCCCCCCCCTTCCCCCCCTCCCGGTTAATTGGTACCAGGCTTGTCTGGGAGGATAAAAACACTGACTTGTACATCGGCTGGCCCCCGCAAGTCATTGTATAGGCCACATCGCATTCAACTTGCCACTTCGATTCTGGAAGTAGAATGCGTGCCGCATCCCGAGACGGGGGGGGGCTGAGCAACGCCGGACACTTTATCCTTGACTTTCTTTCATTTCATTTCAAATTCTGGTGCTCTCCATCAAGATACCCTCTCTCACCTTCTACAGATAGGCTCTTTCTTTCCTCTGTGCGACTGTCGAAATCGATTGAGAATATCCATGAATGCTGCATTTTTCATCTCAAACATTATTTAGCAAGCGTAATATCATGAATAAAATCATGTGATAATCGCTAGCAAACATTCGCATTCTTATGCGCCTGCAATAAATTCCAATGAATATTGCCGTTGATTTCGATGGTGAGCTGTGTTGGTTGAGATTTTCAGGAATTTTCTCGAATACTGCAGCGTTTCGAAGCTGCATAAATGCTGCGTACATATTGAACAACTCGGAAACGTGTCCATTTAAGAGAACTTGAATGGGGTCCTTTACGTTCCTTATGGGTGGGGGACCTCATGATTGATTGGGCAGAATCCCAGTACTAGCATATTTATTGGGTTGGTGCATAATATCGTAGCGCTTGCATTTTTCATTTTTGCACGCAAACGTTTTGTGAAGAAATTAAAAACATAAAACTAATCAGGGATGTCCACTTTGCCATTATTTACGACTTTTATCCTATTTTGCAGAAAGTCACTGGATTTGGAATTGAAAAAAAGATGTTGGGCTCGCTCTCGAAGTCTTCATTATTTCGCAATTTGTACGACATGAATACGGTCTTAATTTGAGTGAAATATGTAGGGTTGGTTAGAGAGAGGTTCGATAAGAACAATGGATTCTGAAGAACTTTTGTTTTGACGGTATTTTTTTCTTTATGTGAACTGAAAAATAACAGCTGTCGAAATGCCGATTTCTGCCGTCTGGATTTTCCAACTTCTAAGCATTATGTATGAGTACAAATATAATTTTGAGGGAAATGACGAAGTAATTTTTGTAGAGCGAAAAAAGCACTTTCAAAAGGTATAGGCGATTTTTAGGGTTTCTCTTGTACTGATTGAATTTACACGCCCAAAAAAAAAAAATAAACCTAGGATATTATGCACCAACCCAATATATGTAGTTTAAATAGTTAACTTAATTCTATGTTATTAATTATATTTAATCACATCAGGGTGAATAACGGTCGAGGATTTCCTCGACCATAGCTCTCTACCATGTGAGAGTAGTGCCGAGAGTGAACATCCGCGCGGAGAGCACAGACGGCACGCCCATGGCGAGTGTGAATGTCCGCGCGAGAGATCGTGTCTGACCGGGCAGAGAATCCTCGACGTGCCGTTGAGGAATCCTCAAGCGATATTCACCTTGTTTATTTAATTACATCGCGAATATAGGGATACTACGTAATCTAGAAAGAAAAATCGCACACAAGTTGGCTCGTTATCGAAGTGAGGAAAGAAAAGGAAAAATTGCAACAGCGTTAAGCCAATTTGAATCTTTTTCTTGCACCCATTTCGCTGAATCCTCCCAGGTTTGCAGCAATAATTATGGAATGCTGAATGAGAGTACGTAGAAAAAGCTGGGTAGTCAATAACGTTAGAACTAGTTTCTAAATATAATTTTACAACAATTTCTCAAACAGGCTCCAACCTCATAGCTAATTTTACTACCGTTTGAATAGATATAGGTTCAAAAAATGTGTTCAGGTAGTGAACAGGTTTACCAAAGTGTAATTGCAATTTGTTTCTATGATTGAGAATCAAAAAACTGTCTAGAGCGAGTGAAACGGAGCGAGTTCAGAAATTAGGGCGTCTCCTAGACAATTTTCTGCTCGGATCGTGATTATATCTTCAGGGAAATTCTCTCCCTTATATAAGTGGCAGTACCTCCAATCACACAGATAACGGTACTATCGCGAGTTGAAAGTGAGCGTCAAGGGAGCTAATGCCTTTGCTAGACCGCTGCGGCGCTGCCATCTTATCAATCGTGCATACGTGGCGTCTGCGCCCTCTCGCGTACGACGTGCTCTCTCGCGTTTTCCCTCTCCTCGCAGCGCTGTGTCTCTCCGTCGTACCACGGTCGCCTCACAAGGGGAATTTCAGTGTTTTCTATGGTGCTTTTTGCTTTTTTCCTCAATGGCCTTCCTCTTCGCTCTTGTCCAAGGTTCGCTACTCTCAAAAAGGAAAAAAGGAATCAACACGAATTTCGTGTGAGTGGATGGTGCAAAAGAACAAAAAACTCAGAATATCACTGACTCCTACTCAATGAGACTTTCGTCGGTCTGAGGACAGTCAGAAGCAACAGTGAAAGGGCGATGAGCTGCGCGGCGGAGGGATTCGTGCCCGCATCGTCCCATGTTCTCTTCTATGGAGATCAGCGTGGTGAATAAAACTATCGGAATGCGCTGAGAAGCTGCAAGACTGCTATTTCTGTTAGAGGAGTGTTTTGAGAGCCTCATATCCGGGCGTGGTTTTCGGTTGTATGGTCAGTCATCCCTTGAGGGACTAAAGCTTTACCTGGCTTCAGTGTTTTTGTGGTCAAAACAAATTACAGGACAGTGTTCTACAGTGCCAATAAGAAACAGATGTATCCTTTGTTTACGTGTGAAGTTGGCACCAATCCTATTTGCTGCACCAGGACTGAGACCCAAATATAAGACGAGATCAGTGCTGCAGGGGTGTTAGAGCAACCACCAAACAATCTTCATGAAATTTTCCACTTGACAGCAATGGCCTCCATACAGCCTGGCTCTTGACACGGTAGACCTCACTGCTTAGAGACCCCGGAGCAGGGTGAACAGCGGTGAGGAATTCCTCGACCATGGCTCTCTGCTGTGCGAGAGTAGTGTCGAGAGTGAATGTATGCGCGGAGAGCACAGGACGGCTCGCGGGTGGCGAGATTGAGCATCCACGCTGAGAGCGTGACTGAACTAGCGAAAATCCTCGACGACCCGTTGCTGTTTCCTCGACCGATTTTCGCTCCGCCCTGAAGAGCAATGCCTGTATGCTCCCAAAAATTTGATAATTTCTCTGAAGGTTGCTCTGAAGAATGCACGTAATAATTCTGATGAGGACCTGCGTCGGCGGTACACTCCTTCCATGGCCGTTCTCGTCCATTTGATTGGAGCAGAAGACGTATCTGTAGTCGAATTCTAGTGACATTTTATAGATGGCTTGTTATTCACCTACATTTCGAATGTACACTGGTGTGCAAAACTTAAGGACCAGATGGATAAATTGACATAACTTATTCCCAATTTGGTGGAATTGGATGAAACTGCGCAAGTGTATTGCCAAAAGCCTTACAGTCATAGACATGGAAGTGGGCCTCATATATGCAGCGGTCGGCTTCAGTATGGAGCCAAAAGGGAGTGGCCGCATAAAACGAAGGGTTTGGTGGGGCAGGACAAGAGGGAGTGTACTGAGCAGGGAGAAGTCACTGTGGAAAGTAGTGGTGCCCTTGATCACAACAAGTCTCAGAGACAACACGAGGGTGACTTTGCGCGAGAAAGAATCTCTGGGAAACTGGAAGAAGGAAGATTTGTAACGAGTGTGGTCCAGGAGTTTGATGTTGCTCACCCATTGTTTTGAGCGCATAAGGGCAATATGGACTGCAGCTACTGCTGCCCCTAGAAGAGTAGGTGGTGGATCAGGATTAACCGCAACTGCAGGTGATTGCTACGTTGTGCAACAGACAAGAATTGACCTACGTCAGTCACAGGTTGCAGTTGCAAAAACATCTATCAGGAATTGTGAGGCACGTAATCCCAGGCGGAGCAGTGGTACAGTGACCGTATAGGCATGATCTGTCTGACCGATGAACAGTATCTGGTGTTCGTTCGAAACCCGCGCATCGGCGGGAACATTTGCTAGGTGTCGGGACATTAGCGAAGGACCACTGATTTGGATGATTGCGTGTTCTTCACATTCAAGATCAAATTGGATGTAAGTAGTGATTTTGGACTTATCCGCACGTGGCTAGAATAGGATCATGTAATCCACCCGCGAAATCGTTCGACATGATTGTTTTGATAGTCTATTCGATATGGTGTGGGGAGGCCTAAAGTCGGAAGGATGTACCAAGCTCTCAACTCCTGGTCGCGAAATGCTTTCTGATCGACGATATTGTGACGCTGTGCTCCTCACTTCTGTGCATTTGTTCAAGGATGTCTTTGACCTCAACTTCAATCGTATGGAGGACAAGGTGCGAGAGCATCGAGCAGCCTAGGTGGAAAACTCCTGAAAATCGAGGATTTCCAGCGATCGGTCGAGCCTGCCCACTTACCTCAAACAAATGCTATGGAGCACGTGTGGAGCACATTCAGGAAAGCAATTGTAGCGCATCCCCATGCGCCAACAATTGTCCAGCAGTTGTCAATTCACGGTCTTCAAGGAATGGATCGTTTCTCCACAAGAACTCTTAACCAACCTTGTGCCAGTATT